ACACACACACACAGACACACACACGCGCGCGCGCGCGGGGTCGGCTTCCACCTGAGCCCAGCAGGTGACGCCAGGTCAATTCACCTTGGAGAGAAGGAAGGAGAGCACCCCCACCCCCACCCCCACACCCCGCTTATCGGTGCGGGGCGGGGACTTGGTTTCCCGGCAACGGGCCGGCTCATTGGCCGGCCCCTCTGCTGGAAAGCCAATGGCCAAACACGCTGTAACGCTCGCAGCGCAGACTGCGGCTGCGCAAGAGGTTTAAATTGCCGGCGCGGTTGTCTTGAGGGCCCGCTGCTGATTTCAGTAATCCTCTCCCAATGGAGGACGCGGAAAATGTCTATCAGTAAGTCTGTGGGTGGGGTGGGAGCGGAGCAGAGTCACGAGCCGGGATGCGGGCGTCCGGGAAGCTGGAGCCACTTGGATTCCGGCCTGGTTATCTGCAGGTCCCCTCCAAAGCCTGCCTTCCCCTACTCCCATGGGCGCATTTCCTTGGATTTGGTGTTGATCCCATATTAACCCAGCACCCACCCCACGTCTGCAGAGCGTTCCTCGAGGCCCTGTGACCCTCCTTCGCCCCAGAGGGGCCGCAACCGCAGTGACAGTTAAGGGCAGGCACCATTGACCAAGCTTCCTGTTGTTATGTGTCGTGGAGTCCAGGTGATTCATAGCGACCCTGTGTACAACAGCCCTAAACTCTGCTCTGTCCTGTGTCAATCGCACCGTCTCTGACACACCCACACCTAGTCACTAAATCAATCCACTTCATAGAGGGCCTTCCTCTCTTGAGCTGACCAAGTTTGCTGAACTCTTTATTTATTCTTTGTAAGAAACCCCGTCTGGGCAGATAGCCAGTGTTTAGGGAAATGGCTCAGGTAACAAGTCAAACTACAGGAGTGGTAAGAGCGGCCCGTGGCCGGCTGAGCCCTTTGCTGCGGTGCGCAGGGCGGAAGAAAGCGGGGCCTGCACTCCATTCTGCTCGTTATTTTACGTTTACTTTTTTTTGTCAGTTTTACAAATTAGGGGACTTAGCCTATGTTTCAAAAGAATGTAAAGCATTTCTATCAAATGTGTCTGATAGAAAGTAAGGCGGGTTCACTTCCTCCTGGTTGAGGTGCTTCCAGATGAGAGGCCCCTGTCTTTCACCTGTGTTGGCCAGGGCGCAAGTGCTGCTCTAGTGCTGAGGTTCCAGCTGAGCTGGAGGCAGGATGGAGGCCGAAGCAGGTATGGAGGAGGAGGAAGGGATGGAGGAGGGGGGGGAGGGGAGAAGGAGGAGGCAGGGATCCGTGTTCTCTGCAGCACCCACTATCATTTTGGTGGTCAGCTTGCTATCAGTGGCCCTGGAGGAGACTGAGGATTCCGCTGTGCGTTAGCGGTGTCCTCTTTATGGACTATGCCCCTCCAGCTGGCACCAGCTCGGACCAGTCAACCCAATGGTTAAACCCAACCCAACCAGTTGGGTGGATTGGTGACAGCCAGCAACAGGATAAATCTTACTGTCTTTGGAATCAGAAATCTGAGATTTAGATGCAGGCAAAACAAAGATGGTATTGCTTTGCGGATTTCAGTTTAGACAACAGGCTGATAATCTCTTTTAAGAAAAAGAAATGTGGAAATCAGTTATTGCTGATTTTGTTGTTAGGCGCTGTGAGTTGCTTGTGACTCATAGCGACCCTACATACAATAGCCCTATACCCTGCTGATTTGATTTTATTTTAACTTTCTCCTGTAAAAGTGGCCTCCACCCTGGCAGTGATTGGGAGGACTACGGTCCACATGGTACGCCACATGGGATGAGGTTCCCATCTGTTGTTGAAATCGAGTAGCTGTGGTTTTTAGCACCTAACAGCTGCTAACTGCCCAGTGGACACTGATTCATAGCTCCTGCAGGTTTGCACAGGCTGAGATTGAAACAGGAAGAGATTGCACATCTAACAGCTCATAGGCAGAGCCATGTGGCCTTGGGGCTAGTACACAGCTCCTCCAGTCTAGGCCACCAGAGTTCCCCAGTGACAGCAGTAGCAGGAACATTTGCTTTAATGACTGATGTTTTAATATTAACTTGGTACATGTTTGGGCTGATATACTACAGAGTTTTTAGTGGGTGTTTTTGTTTTTAGTACTAGAACATGAAATGTTTTCTCTTGTCATATTTACTATACATATTTCCTGGGAAAGATTTTGATGTGAAGATTTGTCCCTCAGCAGTGAGGCATGAGAGGATATTAAAAAGTTACAATTAATTAATAATTAGTCTGCTTGGTTTATTTGTTAAGTTATTAAAAGAAAATAATACACTTACAGGGAGCTTTGGTGAATTAGTGGATAAGGAGGCTGCACTGCTCACAGGCAGATGGTCAGAGCCACCAGTTGCTCTGCGGAAGGAGGATTGACAGTCTCTTTCCATATGATGTATAGTCTTGTAAAACTGCTAGAGGGTTAATCTTGAGTAACTTACAACAGCAGTGAGGAGGTTTTTGTTAGTACTTACCAGCAATAAGAAGGAGGGAGGAAAGGGGAAGTTGTTTAAAGAGAACTATGTTTCTGTTATTTATGGTGATAGAAGATCTGGCAATGGATATTGATATGGTTGTGCATGATAAATGTCATTAGTGTCACTAAACTAGATGGATGAAAAATCTTGAATTGACAAATGTGACACAAAAACCTATTTTAAAACAAAATTTAAGAACCTGTAACCAGTGCCCACAGTTGCTCTGTTTCCAGTGGTGGTTCAGATAGTGCCCTCTAGACTGCAGATCTTTACTGGAGAAGGTTCTCCATCGTCTGCACTAGCAGGCAGATCCAGTATGACACCAGGGTTCCCTAAGCCCTGTTCAGTTCTCAATTTTTCTTCTGCTGTGCCTGGCCACTCAGCCTTCACCCTTTCCTGGTTTAGCATACCACTTTGTTCTGTTCCTGGAACAAGGTCAGGTCATTGTGCCCTTAAGACCTTTGTTCTTGATGTTCTTTCTGCCTCCTTCATTTCTCTTTAGGGAGCTGCATAGTCTAAGGTTATACTCAGATGCTACACTCTCAGAAGTAGACCCTCCCTGGCCATCCTGCCTAAAATAAATACCTTTCATACTTATCTTCTTTCTTATTTTTTGTAAACACTTGTTATCTAACATTATATATTTCATTGTTTACCCACTATCATGTAAACACCCATGGAAAGTTTTGTTTTGTTGACTTGATGACTTTTTTTTACCCTGTAGCCCAGTAGATAGAGATAGGGAACAAGCAAAAGTCCATAGTTGTGCTGTGAGCCACTAGGCCACATAGTGGCCACCAATGGTTCCATTCCGTAAGCAGCTTCATGGGAAAAACATAGGTAGTCTCCTTCCACTAAGATTTACTGCCCTGGAAATTCACTGGACTCAACTTGTCAGCAAAGAAAAAGAGAGAGAGAGTGTGTGTGTGTGTGTGTGTGTGTGTGTGTGTTTGTATTTGTATTATAGTGAAGCAGCAGCTGAGTTTTGAGCATTACTGTCTTTGATGTGTTCTTCCCCAAGAACTCTGCATCTTTTCTATCCAGGAGTCTTAAATGTCTTTTCCAAGACAAAAATCTTGTCCCTTTGACAAGGATCTAAATCAATGCCATGCTTGTTCAACCGATAGGAGGAGCAGAAAGAGCAAGCTTTTGACAGTTGTTGTTTGTTGTTATGCGACCCATAGTGACTCTATGCACAGCAGCTCTGACCCCTTCCCTCCCTGCCCTGAGCCAGTTTCACTAATTCTGGCACACCAACACCCATTTTCCCAGTTAGTATTTTAATCCATCTCATCTGGGATCTTTCTCTCCTGCACTGTTCCTTCCAAGCATGATGTCCTTCTCTAAGGACCTGTCTCTCCTGGCCTTGTGCCCAAACTATGTGAGATGGAGATTCAAATCCTAGCCTCCAAGGAGAGATTTGGTTTCACCCTCTACAAGACAGACCTATTTTCTTGTCAGTCAATGGTATGTTCAAGACTATTCTCCAGCACCACAATTTGAAGGCATTGATTCTTCTTCTGTCATCCTTAGTCATTTTCCATCTTGGATTAGGCACACCTTACTCTCTAGACATCAGTGCTTTTCAACATTCTGGAGAGGTCCCTAACAACAGATATTCACAATGTAATTCGTCTTTTGATTTCCTGACTGTTGGTGTTAAGAGTGTTAATTGTGGAGCTGAGCAAGCTGTAATTGCTAACAACCTCAATCTCTTCTTTATCTATCATGGTGCTATCAATTGACCCAGTGGTGAGAGTCTTTGTCTTCTTGATGTTGAACTTGAATCCATATTGAAGACTGTAGTAAGTGCTTCAGGTCTTCTTCAGTTTCAGCAAGCAGGGTTGTGCCATCTGCATATCGTTTTGACAGTACCCTCTCATAATGGTGATAGAAACTTGGAACATCAGTGAGAGGACACTCTGGAGGGGAGAGCCCACTTCAAGCTGAGAACCTCTCCCATCTGAGTCACTGAGTCCTAGGCCTAACCTCAGGAACTCCGCCTCTTTTCTTCTGCTGGGAAAACACTCAACATTTCTGCATCCATGCTACCTTAAATTTTTATGTAGCATTTGAGTTGATTTTTAAGATTTCCAATTTCAAGGTATATAAAATCAGATATATCCTTTTTTTGAGGAACTGTATTACAGTAATCAGGAATTCAAAGACTAATTGCATTGGAGAAGTCTGTTGTCAGAGACCTCTCCAGAGTGCTAAGGAGCAATGATGTCATTCTAGAGACTAAGGTGCATCTGATCCAGGCCATGGTCTTTGCAATTACATGCTGTGCATCAGAGAGCTGGACAGTGACTAGGAATGACAGAAGAAGAATTGATGCTTTTTAAAAATGTTTTATTTTATTAATTTTAATGAACATTTACAGAGATTCTAGATTTCCATTCATTCTTTGTTGAACTATTTTCTCTAACCCCCCTTCTTTCCTCTTTCCCCCCCCTTGAAAGTTTGTTTTAATTGTCCCATTGCCACAGTTCTTGTCAAA